GGATATTCAGTATTTTTCAATTCTTCAATATTTGCGATATTTCTAATAAAAGTGTACCACAAATAAATTGAAAACACTAAGGGAGTCAACCTGCCAATGGACACATCCAATTCACAAGGATTAAATTAGTTGAACAAGGATATAACTTTTGTAAGTACTGTTGGAATTCTATTTTAGAAATTGTGCAATTTAGATTTTTCCATAAATTCTCTACTGTTTCCTTTCTATAATTAATGAGAATTTTGAAAGCATAAAATAGTAGAAACTATTGTGGAACCCATTGTAAAATTCTCTATTATTTTTTTTTGTTCATAATAAATTTTGCCAAATTCAACTTTACGTTTTCTTTAATCAAAGAAACCCCTCTCTTAATGTATTTCTCATGAAAAACATACGAGATTAGGAGACTTGAAGGATTAGAAGAAAACAATCAAAGGTAAGCTTAAAGGAAAAAAAATTTAAATTAATACGAGTGAGTGAAGAACACCAGTCTTTCTCTTATTAAAATTTATTCTAGTGAGTCTGGAGTCTTTGAGAAATAAATAATTATTTTTATTTTGGTCTCTCGTCCAAAATTCTTCCGGACATAACAGTGTAAACCAAAGTTACTTTCGCTGTGAATAAATTCAATTCGATATATACGCTAATTCCGAGTGTTATAACTTACAAAACCCTTCTATCCTTCACCGAATCCCACAAACAATTCTTTTCCTAATTTTTGGGACGACAGGCATAAGGGAGGGGGTAGCCGCCATATTGTTTCACCCAGAAATTTGAAACGAATTCTAAAAAATTGAGGAGGATGGAAAAGGCCCCTATACCTAGAAGGGGATTTTGTGATCCGGAAATTTTTTGCACCCGAAAAAGAAATTTTTCTTTTGGAGCGATAGACGCGCCATCTGGTTACCGTTAGAAATTCGGGATAAATTTTATAAAATACACGAGGCCGGAAAGGCCCCCTATGGCAAGGGATTTTGCGATCCGGCAATTTTTTAGACCAAAAAAAAAATGCTTTTCGTTTTTGGGACGATATACGCGCCATCTAGTGGCCGCAGTCTGGTTGCCTTAAGGAATTGAAATTTTGCGGTCGGGCAATTTGTTGGTCCCAAAAAAAATTATCTTAATTTTTGGGGCGATAGACGCGGGGGAGGGGGTAGCCGCCATATTGTTGCACATAGAAATTTGAAACAAATTCCAAAAAATGGAGGGGGATGAAAAGGTTCCCTATACAAGGGGATTTTGCGATCTGGCAAATTTTGGACCCAAAAAAAATATTTTTCATTTGGGGCAATAGACGCGCCATCTGGCGCCCGCAATCTGGTTGCCCTTAGAAAATTGAATTTTTCGGTCCGACCATTTTTCGGACCCGACAACAAAATCCTCTTCTCAATTTTTGGGGCGATCAATGCGGGGGAGGGGGTGGCCACCCTATACTGGCACCTGGAAATTTGGAATAAAGTTTCAAAAATGGAGGATGGAAATGTATCTCATAAAAGGAGAATTAGTGAGATACTGTCAACCTCTATCTTGGTTTCGCCAAAGACATAATATTCTTGGGAGAAATTAAAAGTAAATTGTGTCCACCTCGTCCATTCTTGTGGCAAGAATGAGTCAGTTGCTGCCAATCTCACGCGGAATTGCTACGAATACCCGTGAGCTTGGTATAAATTCCAATTCCACGAAAAAATCAGTTAAAAATCGCGTTTATTGTCACAAACGCATTGTTCTTACGTCAAGAATGAAGTTTCTTACAAGCATCGGTCATGCGGGTGAGAGAGACATAAGATTGTATCAAGAATGCGTGGACTTGACGCAAACTCGATTATGCTCGTGTCAAAATCGACCATTCTTGTGGCAAGAAAGTCGCCCGCCAAGAAGCGTTTGGATTGCCCCAATCCGATAACTGCTCCTAGAAAACTTTTTTTTTCTCTCAGTGAATATTTTCTATCGAACATGTCAATAGAAATGGAAAAATACTTATAGAAACTTGTATAGAAATTCCATAGAATTTTTTAGCCGATTCGCTAGGCTTTTCTATTAGATTTTTTCGTACGTGTGGCGCTGGCCATCAAAAGGAATTCCGCAAATGACCGCCATCATGAAAAGAAAGACGCATCCACGTCAAAAATATTTTTGAGAAGTACGTCTTTACTTGTATTAAGAAACTGATGGCTCGAAAATTGATGAGAATATAATATCTTGCCCTGAGAAAAAAGAACTTTTGTGAAGAGATTTTGTACTTGTCCGAAAAGTGAGGGGCAATAGGAAACTTACATGAAGCCCAGTTTTTCTGAATTCTCCCACACATACTTTCTTCATAACCTTTTAATAACCAAACAGCAAAAATTATAGCGAAATATTGACTAGATATTTCATAATAATTAATTGAAATCAATGGTTTTCAAGGCCAATTTTTTCGATCGTAACGTCACAAGGGGGGTTGGATACCGCTGTGTGAAGCTTGATGCGCCAAATCTAACGGGAGTAGGAACATGTCGTGCTACATTGGTTGAGGCGCACGTGGAGATGACTCGAGCCATTTCTGTGATTAGTCCAGAGTTACATAAAATCACTTATTTAGGCACTCAACTCACGTTTAAAAAAAAAAAAAATTCATGCAAGTTCCCTATTGGTACACATTAAGAGAGCGACTTTTTGAATATGGTCAAGTCGATTTTACATTGAAATATCTTGGATTTGCGACTAGAAAATTACTAAATAAATTAATCCAATTAGACTTGGTTTGGGAATCACATTTTTGTCAATAAATTATCTTCGTCTTTGAAACAAGTACATAATTTCTTGATGAAAGTTTTTTTCTTCTCAGTGAAAGATATCATTTTCTTGACGATTTTTGAACTGAGTTTCTTGATACCAGTAAAGACGTACTTGGCAAAAAAAAATTTCTCAGTGTTGAACGTAAACGAATTCTCAGGATTTCTGGGAATTTTGAGTTATCGGAAGAACGAACGCTTGTAGAGAAAGATATCAAAAAATCATTTTTGTGGAAAATTTTGTTAGCTACAAAACATACTTCTTATGTGTTTCGAATAAATCACTCGTTTACGAGATACTGCCGATTTCAATGATCTCAGATTTAATGGTAATTCAAAGTCGCTGAACATTCATCTCGATTTTACGATGCATTGCTTTTAATTAGAAGAATCACCTAGATTTTTTCATGAGGTTGAATACATCTGAATAATCAGCTGGTGCTTGGGAGGATTCCATAGAATTCAATTCATAAAGTGCGACTTCAAGTAGTTTCGCATCGATAATGTCCTGAAGCGATGAACACCGAATACGCTGCGCAATTCATCATCACAAATAGCATACTGAGAGTCATCAGGATCGAGTAAGCTTCTCTCAGTAAGGATTCGAAGAATTGTCTTGACGATTTCGGGGATAGTCATCCGCGGGTTGCCAACCAATCGTGCAACTGCAGGTGATAAACTGATGACTTTTGCGTAGGCACTTCGCGCTTCAACTCCTGTCTTCTTCTGTTCATTTAATTCTCTCCTCTGATAATGCAATTTTCGGTCATATGACTTTTCACTTGGATCTGGAATATAATCTTCATCACTCGTACTCTCCTCTGCATCTCCCTCTATGCGCACACGTTTCCTTGGCCTCCCACGTTTGCGTTTCAAGTTGTCCATTTCTCTCCTATCTCTGAATTGCCCACCTAATGTATAATATGGGAACAGTTCACACCTCAGACATGAGATGAAATTACAATTCATTTGGAAATCTGCTGATGATCAAAACCCTCGTCTTAATTCACATGATGTAATCATTACAAATACCTTGAATGACAATTTCTTCAAATTTGTCTCAGCTTATACACAGCAACTTTGAAAACCCAAGAGTATAATAGAAATTAAGAGCTCAATATCAAATTTGAATTTCACTTAGGTTAAATTCTTGGAGTTTGAGGTTTTGTCAATATTTCATGACTTGAACTCAGTCACGATCATCTTAATCATGGTTGTTATTATTTCAAAATTTCCTAGATTGAATTCAAATTCTTTTTCTCAATTTTCAATTGAAATCCATGAGAAAATTGAATTTTCAATATTTTTCACATATACAACTTTTTATTCTGCGTCCACCAGTGCTCGGTGGATATGAAGTGGAGATACACCCTGTATATACCTATAATAATAATAATAATAATAATAATAATAATAATAATAATAATAATAATAATAATGATAATAACATGTACTAATTATAAAACTGAAAAATCAATTATTTGAAATAATAATAATTCCTTGCAGTAAAATATAATGATAGTTTTTTCAAAGCCACGACCCCGTAATCCAAGAATCGTTTCCTTACAAAACTTTCGGCTTACGACTCGCTAGCCACAAGGCACAAGGCACGAGACACCAGACACGAGGGGGAGTGCGAATATCCAAAAGAAAAACTAATATTTCGTCCCAAAACCGAAACTACCTTTTTGCCCCAGTAGGCACAAAGTCAGATTTTCGTCCCCCGAAGGGGGACGAAAAATATGCCGGGACGAAGAACCGTTCACAGTACGGGAAGCAATAAAGGATGTGCACGTGGGCACGACGCCTTCATTTTACCTTCCTAGGTTAGAAATATACTATTGGGTCTCGGCGGGCGCAAAGTTACATTTCCCTCCCGCTTCGCGGGACGGAACCTTGACCTTGCGCCTACTCCGACCTTGCGCCTAACCTCGCCTTCGGCTCGGCTGGTAATTGCACTGGCGGCTGAGGATCCTTTATTTTACCTCCCTAGGTTAGAAATATATTATTGCGGAGCAGTGTGAGGGTTGAACATCGAGGCAAAGCCCAGGATATCGACGGCACTTACGCGATTCAGACAAGTTTTTTCATCCGAGCGACAAAGCTAATTTTTTTTCCACACTGTCCGTAAAATGACATTATGCCGGAAATATACATTAATTCTCTCAAACAAATGTTTATTAGGCATTTGTTTTCTCAATGTAAAAAAAACAAGTTGATATTTACCAGAAGAACAGATTCCGTTGATTTCAACTCTTCGAGTGCTTCTTCGACGTCCTCGATGGATACAGACCGAAATTCCGGAGTGCCACTAGGGATCAAGAAGCATTTGAAGCCAGACACACCGGCTTTTAACATTGCTTTCAACTCTTTCTACATGAAAAAGAGAGAAAAAGGGTCTCAATGAGTTGTTTCTTAGTACTGACGACACTTTGTTGATTAGAAATGGTTTCAAAAATGGGAAATGATTGACTGCATTAAGCCACAATGGTTGTTGAGGATTATATAAATTTCCATTGTATCTCGGTTTTTCTCAGAAAATCCATCCCTGAATATTTTTTCTGCAGAATTCATGATAAGTGTTGCTACAAAGGAATGTAGAAGTGGCAAAAATGCAGAGATATTCACCAATTGAGTGGATAAAAAAATCTGATTGGATCCTGAAATGGGTTCTGGGTTTGGACTTATGGGATAAAATGAGTTGTATCATGGGAGTGGTCGGCAAAAATTCGCAAAAAATGACAACATCGTGAAATTATAAAAAATTATTTTTTACTATGAAATTATGAATTCTTCTTCAAGTTTCTATATCAGTAGTGAAGTGGTTAGCCGTAATAACTCGAAAAATTGTGATTTTACAGGAGAGCCAAAAAACTGATTTTACAGGTTCCGGTCGGAATTTTCTGAAACTAATTGCTGATTTCTCATTGATTATCTGACAGATTATCGTACATGCAGCCTCAACTCCGGCGCTCTATTCTACACCCAAATTCACTGACTTGTTCCGCTTATTAGGGCTGCCCACGATACCGAGCTTAGTCAATTTTGACAACTTTGAAAAGGGGATGTTACGTGGGTCAAATGTCTCAAGAGTCTCATACCTGCAAGAATTGTACCCCGCGAGAGTCACACCTTGTAACGAACATACCTCACAAAGTTCGCGCTTCGTGAGGGCCAAACGTCACAACGGTAAACCGGGAAAGGCAGACAGGACTATCAGCAGGGTCAAATTCCGGCAGAAGTTACCTGCCTCTGTTATTTGACTTTTGTGTTCATTTGACCCCCTCCGAGACACGACTTTTGCTAGGTATGATTTTTGCGATCTCTGACCATCACGACGCATCGCCCTTCCAATGTTTGACCCTCGCGAGGCATAACCCTTGCGAGGTATGATCATTGCGACACTTGACTTTCGCGGTCTTAAACCGGGAATACAGGATTGAGAGGTGGAAGAAATTTGTTTTTCTCTTAATTGAACGAGACCGACGAGACGAAACTAAGCATAAAGTTCCGAGACTCACGCGAGACCGAGACGAGACGAGACCGAGTTAGACCGATATTGCAGCGAGACCGAGACGATACCAAGAATTTTGTATATCAACGAGACCGAGACGAGACTTTCCACAATCTCATCTCGTGTCGTCTCGTGGGCAACCCTCGACACCACTTACGAACATCCGAATCGCAAGAGTCCTAGATGGCAACTAAAGACAAAGGAAAAATGGCGGACGGGAAAGTTCTCATAGTTCTTTAAGGAAAAAATCTTGAGATTGACTCAGATTTTCATTTAAAAATTGATCTAAATTACCGACAAGTACCGCTTTGGCGTAATGGTTAGCATCCTAGCTACCAGAACGAAGACCGCGGACGACACGGGCTCGAATCCCGTGGTGGCCACAATTTTATCGACGGGGAAAGACTTCGAAATGAAAAAAAAAAAATATTTCTATGAACCAACAAGTCGGTGATAAGTCCATCAATAAATAGAAAACAATTGAGAAAACTTGGAATTCTCTGTATCGCCAGTTCAAGTGATGTCTGATAGTATTTCATACAAATTGAAGCTTATCAGATTCTGTTCATTTAGTCAAAGTGAACAAATAGTGAAATTATAAAAGATAATCAACTTTTCATCACTGTTACACTACTTCGTAGCCATATTTTTCACGCATTCCCCCCCAAAAAAATCGGAGCATAAATTTTCCCGAATTTTTTTTTTCATTATTCAGATTTTTTTTTTCAGAGATTGAGAGATAGAATGAATTGTTATGTCCGGAGAGAGATGTTAGCGTCGAAAGGACATGTTTTAATTGTCACATTAAAATCAAAGTTAAAATTATTAGATTTTTATAATTATTGGACGACGCAAAGTTTTATACTCTTACCTTTTTTTAAAATATAAGGGAAAAAGGGTTTGATTTAGGGATAGGGCTTGAGTTGAGACTAATTTATAATCAAGAAATTTGGAGTTGTACTGGGAATCAAGTTTGAATTTAAATATATTTCGTATAACTATTCGGTTTACATAAGCGTGATTTTACAGAAATCTATGTAGCTAAAATTCCTATCCCTGGAATGATCTGAAGGATTCAAATTTAGGTTTACAAATTTTTGTTACTCACAATTCGGTCTGTTATTTATAAATTATTCGATGTGTTTGTAGATCTCTGGGTAAATCTGTAATTTCCTCACCAGCAATTAGTCGCGCTAAAGGCTATTATGGATACTTTCACGAAAACACTTTCTTCTACTCGTTGATATTTTAATGAATTTTTGGCAGTTGAATTTGAAGATTTTAAGAGTTTGGTTGGGACTGTCCACAACGCGTCACAATAAACGAATTCCTTATTTGTAAGAAAAGTCACCACTTTTGATTAAAGAAATTTTATTCCCGGATAATTTCAATTGTTCATAACTTACTATTAATTCAGTACTATCCCACGTAATTGAAGGAAGGATTGAAAAATCGGACCGATTAAATGACCTATTTCCACCAGAATTGTTACTACTCCGTCGCTGCTTCAAGACTGCTTAATTTTGGTTTTTCTGACATTTTTATATGAATTTTGGGGTCACTTGTCACATGGACTCCAACGAGTCCATTTTTACTTAGTGGAAAATGTCGTATGACTTTTCCCACTCTTTTGATTTTTATGGGGAAGTAGTTCATTCGGTTTTTGGGGTCTCAATTAATCGGTTTTCAATCGTTCCTTCGCGTGTGAATCTTAGTATTAGGTAATTGGGGCGTGCTGAGTGTGTCATTTCATCACTTTTGAACTCGATTCCGGTGTCTTTGGAATTTTAAATTGAGTCCAGGTGATGAGATGCACTCTATTTAATTTACAATTGTGGATTTGGTTCTTGATTACATGAAATTATAATATAACTTATAATTATAATCTTACATAAAGTTTATTCTAGTCTTAAATTTCTAGTATAAAATTTTTGGACATTACAGAATATTTATTCAATATTCAAAAACCATCGTTTATTCGGGCTATGCAAAATCTGTTCAATTCTCATTATAGAACACTATTAGATTGAATTCGAAGATATTTCTTTCTTTTTCTTGATTATACTCGCGATTTATATAGTAAAGTCACAAAACACAAGAATTTTGCATTTCTCGGGAAATTTAGCAGTCGATTACTCAACAATTTCCGAAATTTCTTAATGAAAAATTGGCTTTTCAGGTATGTTTTTTCAATACCTAAGCATACGCAACGATCTAATGAACTCTCATAGCACCGCGTAAAGTTGAGTGAGGCAAACATAATTTTCACGTGTTAATCCAATGGGAAAACAAAATTTTCAATGAGCGACTTGGCAAAAAATTGCTTCGCACCCCGACAAAGACGTGTTCATTGTGACCCCAAAAGACACATTTTTTACTGGTGCGAAATGGAAAAAAAATGCATTTTTTTTTACCAAATTTAGTGTATATACACGTGCATTTAATGATCTAATTTATATCCACTAAATCCTAAATGAATTGTTAACATTAAATGGATTTAGTGTGTGAATTAAAGAGCCCTAATATTCCACTGTAAAAACAACAGGTTATGGGCATGATTACCAAGAGTCAGAGATATTGCCACTTGTTGAGGTGAGATTTTATTGAGGCACATTGGTTTGTGGACGCCATCTTCCCTGGATTTTTGTTTTGAATTTTTGGCACGTTGGAGAAAAACGTTGAAAAAATGTCGAAAACGTCAACAAGTATCACGAAGTTGGATAAGGAGAATTATGACATTTGGGGGATGGACGTAAAAGCACTCTTGGTTAAATGTGAGCTTTGGGGCTATGTGAATGGGTCAATTCTAAAACCGCCAACTCCTGCTGGCAATGATACAGAGGCAGCAAATACGCTTCAAAAATGGAAATTGAAGGACGAGAAAGCATTTTCTGAAATCATGTTGACTCTTGGTGCTAAGGAGAAGAGGCAAATAAAAAATTGTACTACAGCGAATGCAGTCTGGCTTAAGTTGAAAGAGAAGTATGAGTCGACAGGTCCGGCTCGTAAAGGTTTATTGTTCTAACATATTGCTTCGCACAAAATGGAGGAGGAGGCTGATTTGAAAGTCCGTCTGGGCGATTTTATGGAGACTGTTGATAAATTGGAAGAACTTGGAACTGAAGTTAATGAGGAGTTATATTCGTTTTTGATGCTACGCAGTCTCCCCGAATCCTTTGAGTTGTTTCAACGAGCTATGTTGTCAAGAGATGATGTTTTGAAGCCGGGTAAAATGAGGATGAAGATTCTGGAGGCTTTTGAGTTGAGGAAAGAATCAATGAGTAGTGTCGGGAATTTTCATTCAGTGAGAAATCAAGGTCAACACAGGGGTTCGTCAGATCAGTCGAGCTCCAGGAACGGTGGAGGAAGTTCAGGTGTGTCCAAACTATTATTTACGTGTGTTAGATGTAATCGTGCTAGCCACAAAGCACAGTTTGATCGTTCTAGGTTTCCTGTGTCACGTCTCATTGAGCGAAGAACGCAGAGGTGGATTAAGAAACAAATGCAAATGATACAGATAGTGAAGCTGATATGATCAAAAAATACGCGTTCTTAAATTACGACGTTAAGAGTAACGTGAGGTCTCTCTGGTGCTTGGACAGCGGGTGCTCTTCACACGTGGTGGCGAGTAAAAAGACACTTGATGATTTTTCTGAGGTAACACGGTCATTCAATTAGGCAAATATACAGACCACGATGATATCTGGAAGAGGAAAGATGAAAATAAATGTGATAGAAGAAGATAAGAGTCGTGTTGTGTCATTGTACAATGTTTATTAAGTACCTGATTTGAGATCGAATTTATTGTCTGTATTAAAGAATGCTGATCAGGGTTTTGAGATGTGTTTTCGTAAGAGTG